GGAGGGATAAGGTAGAGAAAGAAGAGTTTCCTTTCCCCCGAAACGAGAATTTCATAGGCAGGAAGAAAGAATTATCAGAGCTAGAATTCATACTATTTGGCAATATAACTGGTGATTCTGAAAGAGATTACTTTGAACTCAAAGCTCGGCCGAGGCGAAAGAATTTGACCCTTAGCTGGAGTAAAGGCAGTTCACTAGAAGAGAGACAGCAGGAACAAACATTAGAAACGCACAACAAGAAGGGTAAAGAACCTATTGTGTGGAAGGAGTCCGAAAAAGAGATCGAAATGCAGAGCATTGAATTTCCCCAAAGGCATCGACGACTGAAGACAAGAAGTGGCGAAAGGTATGCCAAGAGAAAAAGAACAGCCAAAGTTATGTATGGAAAAGGTATCGCTTGCATTTCAGGAGACGCTGGAATCGGTAAGACTGAGCTTCTTTTAGAATTTGCATATCGACATCACCAAAGATACAAGATGGTTTTATGGATTGGAGGTGAAAGCAGATACATCAGGCAGAATTATCTGAACTTAGGTTCCTTCCTAGAAGTTGATGTAGGATTTGAAAGTTGCTCAGGTAAACTCAAAATAAAGAACTTTGAGGAGCAGGAAGAGGCAGCCATTTCCAGAATTCGTACAGAGCTGATGAGAAACATCCCGTTTTTACTCGTGATCGATAATTTAGAATGTGAAAAGGATTGGTGGGATCACAAACTTGTGATGGATCTTCTTCCTCGTTTTGGTGGAGAGACGCACATCATAATATCCACTCGTCTTCCTCGTGTGATGAATTTGGAACCATTGAAATTATCTTACCTGTCGGGGGCTGAAGCAATGTGTTTGATGCAAGGAAGTCTTCGAGACCACTCGATCTCAGAGATTGACGTTCTGAGGATCATTGAAGAGAAAGTTGGAAGGTTAACTTTAGGCCTTGCAATAATTGGTGCAATCTTATCCGAGCTTCCCATAACTCCCACTAGATTGTTGGATACAACTAACAGAATGCCTTTCAAAGATCAATCATGGAGCGGTCGGGAAGCTCATGTATTTCGGCGTAATAGTTTCCTTATGCAGCTTCTTGAGGTATGTTTCTCCATTTTCGACCATGCTGATGGGCCACGAAGCTTAGCAACTAGAATGGCGCTAGCGAGCGGTTGGTTCGGTCCCGCTGCCATTCCCATTTCACAATTAACCCTTGCAGCACACAAGATACCAGAGAAGCGACAGCGGACAAGGTTGTGGAGAAAGTTGTTACGTTCCATGGCTTGCGGTTTGACTTCATCTTACACGAAAAAGTCTGAAGCTGAAGCAACTTCCATGTTGTTAAGGTTCAATATGGCAAGAAGCAGCACCAAGCAGGGATGTCTTCACTTCAACGATCTTGTCAAGCTGTATGCTCGCAAGAGAGGGGTGAACGGAGTTGCTCAAGCGATGGTTCAAGCTGTCATTAACCGCCCATCGATCATTCATCACTCTGAACATATATGGGCAGCATGTTTCTTGCTCTTCGGGTTCGGTCGGGACCCTGTAGTCGTTGAGCTCAAAGTACAAGAGCTATTGTACCTCATAAAAGAAGTGGTTTTGCCGCTTGCCATTCGAACATTTCTTACATTCTCCCAGTGCACCACCGCGCTGGAACTTCTCCGGTTATGCACAAATGCATTGGAAGCTGCAGATCAAGCCTTCGTTACCCCAGTCGAGAAGTGGTTTGATAAGTCACTTTGCTGTAGGCCAATTCAGACGAACGCACAGTTGAATCCTTATCTTTGGCAGGAGCTAGCTCTATGCAGAGCAACGCTGCTGGAAACCCGGGCAAGGCTAATGCTAAGGGGGGGACAATTCGACATCGGGGACGATCTAATTCGAAAGGCGATCTTCATCAGAACTTCCATATCTGGTGAGGATCATCCGGATACCGTATCTGCTCGCGAAACTCTCAGTAAACTCAATAGACTTATTGCTAATTTCCATATTCATTCTTCTCCATAGGTTCAATAATTTTCTTGTAAGGTAAAGTTTTTACTCCCTAGATTGATTATATACCTAGAATGTCAAATAAACCTCTGTATACTTTCCCAGGAAATTCTTTTATACGATTCTAACCCTGACTTAGATTTTGTCATTGTCGATTTTTCGTCAAACCAACACCCTTGATTCTTCCCGTCTCTTACGTTTCAGTTTCAAACAATCTGTTTCAGTATGATTCTTGCTTCTACAAGCGAACTAGTTTTGGTTTGCATTTATAGTATGAGGTTTGAAAGAAGCAGCTTTGTTGGCCATTTGTTCCAAGTTTTTTTTAGCTTAATACCAAAAATTCATGACGTCTCTCGGGTTCGGGCCTTGAGGCAAACACGAGTACCCCTGGATATAGGGTAGTCAACTCTGACTCCCCCGTTATAGAAACAAAAAAAATATTGTTTTTCTTTAATGGTTTGGTGTTATTTTTCTTTTTCAACTGATCTTAGCATAAGGCTCAGTGTGGGAGAATGGGTTTCAATGGAAATGTATATTTAATTTTCTTATGATAATAATTCTCCAAATATCATGTTATCTTTTTATCTCAACCATTTATAATTAAGCCATAAAAATAGCTAATTCAAAACATAAAATTCCTCAAATGAACACAAAAGCAAACCGATTACATAACCAAGGTGCTAAATTTCTGGAATTCTCAAGCTTGACTGCAACTCCGACCTAGGATGATCAACAACGAGCACGACGACTCCCTCGGTGATTCACGATAATCGACGACGAGAGACGAAACACCGATTCCAGCTGGAAATACCCCAAGAACAACCTCCTATTTTACGTCGTTGGAGTCTGTCGAAGGTAGTGGAGATTTGATATGGAGAGCTTTGGTAATTTTCTTATGGACTCCATACTTAAACGAGTCCGTCTCTAAACAAAAGTGTAAATGGTTAATATTCATCCACACGTCGACATCATCATCGATTTTTCCATATGTTAATTAGTTCACCATCAACACAAATAGTAAATCGATATATCTATTTTGTAGTAAAAAAATCAATGACGTATTAGAAAATATCAACAAAATGTAATTAATATACACAAATATTAATAACAAAAGTTTTAATTTTAAACTTAGTTTAAAAGGATAAAAATGCTTACTTGTTAATTTAAATAATTTTTATAATTTTTTCTAAAACATTTATCGACATTGTCATCATATCAATATTTCTATAAAATTGAGATCTCAACACTTCCATCAACATCGAGATTAAAAATCTTAACGAAAATCAAGATGTCCCTAGCTTAATTTTAGGAGTTATTCAAGTTTAAATTTTAATTTAATAAAACTTAAAGTAAAGAAATTGAGTTATTGATGTAATTACCCTAATGAGTTGATCTAGGTACTAAAATAAGCTTACTAAAAAAAACTTTTGGATGACATAAAAAAGATTGATATTTGATGTTGTGATGGAGAATGGGCCAATTAAATGTCACAAATTATTTATTTTAAAAAGAGTTCGTCTCAAATCATAAGATCTAAATTAAAATAAATTGACTAGGTGAAGACGAATAAGTTGGGGTTTTTATTTGTTTATTTATTTTATTGTTGTTATTATTATTATTATTATTATTATTATTTTGGCTTTCAATACAATAGATCTAAAGACCCTTTTTTTGTGGACTAATATCTTTAAACCATTTTCAATTCTTATTGTTTTTCTTTTTTAGTATTTTCATTTACTTTTCTGCCTAGTGATTAAAAATATAATACATTCGAATTATATAGGTGACAAAAACGAATTATTATAAATGAATAATCTATTAAAAAGTATGTGAAAGTAACAAAATACTTCTAAAACCCGAGTTGGAAAACGATTTCGTCAAATAAATTTACTACATTTAAAAAATAATAATAAAAAAATAAAAAAGTAGAAAAAGGAAAAGAAGATAAAGATACAAAAAATGCCCCCACGCAGGATCGAACTACGGACCTTCAGTTTACAAGACTGACGCTCTACCACTGAGCTATAGGGGCTGTTTTGTTAGTTAGTGGAATCAAAATGATAAAATTTATTGTTTTGTTTTAAAAGGTTTCAGTTTATCGTCAGATTGTGAATTGATGAAAATTTAGGAGGAAAAAAAAAGAAATAACGAAAGCAAACTCAAAATTTCTACCAATTTTTAAAAAATTTGGAGAAATTAGATAATATTTTCCATTTTTTTTTTAATTTCCACAAATTTATTAAGTTTATCATCAGATAATTTAAACATCGATGATAGGGAAACTCTTTAAACGGCGGGACTAAATTGAAAAACCACCCAAACACTAATTTTGTTATTATATTGGCTTTACACAAATAAAAATACATATATGTGATTTTAAGGGGAAAATTGAAAAAGAAAAAGGAAATATACGTCCTTTCAATTCTTGTATTTATTTATCAAATCTACAATTTACAATGATGTTTTAAGATTAATAAACAGTAGAATTGGTTTCTTAAAATATTTTTTTTTTCTACCAAACAAGTGGAAGAAAAGTGCAGATATATATATATATATATACATTTTTTTTTTGGATAAAGCCCCTCCAAAAATAAAAATTCAGCTTCAATAGGCATTATTTTGCTATTAATGATACATTAATTGAGGTATCTTAGATCTCTATAATTCATCCAAATGTTATAGAAAGGGCACCTTATACACTTGATACCATCCATTGGCTTTGAATGCTATTATTTGAGGGTAAAAGTCAAAACCGAAAAAATTGAAAAACGTACGAAACCAAACCGGTTTGATTAGTATGATTAATTGTTATACGTAAGGTTGTAAATTTTAATCTTTGGTTTCATTAGTATGATTAATTGCTATACGTAAGGTTGTAAATTTTAATTTGAGGTATGAATTAGAAGAGTGACGAAAGATAACTATGGTATGAAATCAACTACTTTTCGTTGGTACCCGAAAAATAAAATATTAGAGGAGTCAACTTGAGTAACTCGATTGGTAAAGACATATATCAAGAAATGTATATGATATTTGTTACTTTAGATTAAATGGTAAATGGAAATATATGAAACATTATATCATAGTTTGATTAATGTACACAACTATCATGAAAATACAGAGACAGAAGAGCTTGGAAACTTCTCCATAGCTTTCAATTTCTTTTTATGGTTACTGAGTTTTTCAATAATGTACAGAAGAAGGGGCTTGATCTTTGCCATTCAAGCATCAGCTTGGCCTGCCATGTCCTCATCACTTGAGGCATAATCATCTTCACTCAGCTCCTCATCACTTGATTTCTCCTCAGGGACAGCACCAATGTCTTCTGGCTTTGCGTATTTCTCACAGTATTCTGTAAACATAAATAACCAAAATGTGAAATGAGAAAGAATCGGTCGGGACAGGGGCTTACATTGTGATGATCACTATCAACAATTTCTCGCAGATGAGAATCGATGTTCTAGTCATCACAGATGCAGAACACAAAAAGGTTGGGTGCACTTGAATGGTGAATGTCATTAAAATGGGAATTTCTATTACAGATGAAGCTCGGCCAGTAAGTTTATCAAGTGAATTAACACGACATGAATGACCGAAAATTAAGCAGGCCTGAATTGATATTCATTGATGTTTTTGGCCTTTGACATGAATAGATTGTCCTCAGTATGTTTGCTGGTTTAAAGCTTTGCAATAAGAATGTCTTAATATATGTCATTATCATATGAAGATACTACTAAATCTTGTTTCGTGTTACTGTTAGCACCCGAACCAACAGCTTAAAATATGCTTAAACTATAAAATCTTCGATAGAAGTACCTTTTACTCTTTGTTCATATGCAGTGCGATCACGCATCATTACCGCAGCAGCTTCTCCATTCAATGGATCAGAAGGGTTGGGATACAGGAGAAGTTGTGGAAGAAACACTTCGAAAACATTTACAAGGTCTACATGACAAAAAAGAACCCGAATGAGGTCACGATTATTCGATTGCAGCATTATAATTCCACAAAGAAAAAACCAATTGATTGCCAAACTATATACATCAGAACCAATAACATTACAATTCCACAAATAAAAGAATAGTGATGGTTCCTACCAAACATAGGGCTCCATGTCTGGTTGATAACGTCTAAACAAACCGAGCCCGACCTGCAATTCATAAACATCTATATCAGTCAACAATCTACCCCATAAGAATAAAAGGCCCTAGCCATAGCAAGAACCAGAGTAGTAGGTTTCAGTTTCGGTTTCGGGGTAGTGGTTGCGGAGTCAGGCAACTCACATTTCATCAACATTGGGATGATAAATTTTGTTGACAAAGCCAATTGAAGGTGATTTGTAAGGATAAGCATCTGGCAACTCCACCCTAATCCTCCACACACCTCCTTGGTAAAGACCTTCCAATTTCAAGCCAACAAAGTAAATAAAGAAAAAAATAGACAAGATAAGTTAACATCTCATCTCAATCCAAATTCCTATTGCCTAGAATTGCATATATATCAACTGGGTCAGCAAAAAAAACAAGCTTTGAACATCAGCTCCGGATTAATCTGACACTAGTCATGTAGGAAATGGAACAGAACCAGACAACAAACTCAGGAAATGAAGAACCAAACAGATTAATTCATTCAGAGGAAGTCAGCTTATAATCACAACATGCCTCAAAACAATGAATCATGGGGTTTAGGAAAAAGGGGGAAACCAAAAGAGACAGGCCCAACAGAATATACAAGAAAGCCAGCCCCAGAGAAGAATCAGATGAAAAACAGCAAAAAAATGGACGAAATCAAACATGGGTATAGAAGATTTACTGTCTTTAGGGCCATGGAAGTCGACATAGAACTCCTGCATGCTATCATTGATCATCTCCACCTTGTAATCACTCATCATCCTGATTCAGTCAAAGCAGAAGAAGATGAAGAAAGGAGAGAACAATCCAATCGGGGAAGCCATGGGAATCGTGGGAACTTACAGTTTCATCAAATCCATTTCGCGTCGCTTGCTTGGAGAAGACATGATTTTGGTTTATCTTGATTTTTGCTGGGTTGTGGGTTGGGGGAGAAGAGAGAAAGAAATAGAAATGGAAATAGGAAGAGAAATGAGCTTTTTTTCTTTGTTTTTCCTCACCCGCAAAGGCGGTTCAGACACGGAAGTAGTGATTCAAGCTGTAAAAAAAGGGAGTCAATGGTGTGGTACCTTGCATAATCAAAAACCAAAACGCAAAAGATAGGATTTTGCCGGAGGAAAAAACTTAGGCTCCATGAAATTAAGGAGGAAACTTATACCAAAATAAAATTGTGTCGGATAATTATTTCTAATTTTTATTATTTTTTAATTAAAAAAAGGAACAAATGCATATTTGGTAACCATGTTTTAATTATTTTGTTATCTAAAATTTTAAATTAAAGAATGTAAAAATTTTATATAAAAATAAAATTTTCAAATTAAATATTTTTATTTTTGTTATATTTATTAAGCATTTTATAAGTAAAAAAAATATTTTTCTTTATGCTACGAAAAAACTGAAAAGAAGGATGAGAAACAAGAAACTTGATTTTATTATTTCTAAAATTTCTATACAATATTTTTTCTATATTTCTTAAAAATAAAAAAAAATAAATGAGAAAGTTATCGAACAGATTTGAATACGAATAAATTTTATATGAATTACAGTAGTTATGATTTGAAATTGCTCATAAATTTTATATGAATTACAGTAGTTATGATTTGAAATTGCTCTCAATCATGCAAAATCTTAGGGTCCGTTTCATATTCGTTTTTTGTTTTTCAAAAATAGGATTGTTTTGATAACCCGTTCAATTTTGTGTTTTTTATTTTTCAAAAACCATTTTGAAATTCTATATAAATTTCAAAAAAAAAAAATTGTTTTAAAAAACTGTTTGTTTTTCAAAATCTCATTCCCTGTTTTAATACTCAACTTTTTCTTTTCTTTCTCATATTTATTCTTAAAAAATTTATTTTTCACTCTAAATTTTTTTTATTTCTAAATTTTTCTCTACAAACTGTATTTTTTCTCTTAAAATTTTCATATTTTGAATATTTATTGTTATGGGTCTCTCTTCAACATTTTCTGTATTTTTGTTTTTTTTCTAAGAGACCAGTTTCATTTCTCTATCTAAAAAATTAATATTTTTCCTAACTTTTTTCTCTCGAAAATTCCATATTTTATAACTTTTCTCTCTTCGTAATTTATTTTTCTTCTAAAAATTATATTTGAATCATGTTCAGACCTCGTCCCCATCTCCGATTCTATTTTTAAATAATTAATATATATTTATTACACTTTTTTATATTTAAATTCTAAAAATAATTAAAAACAATTATAAAATCGATAATTTTTCTCGAGAACATCTCTCGGACCCCTAAAAATTTTCACGAGCCCGATAACGAGGAAGAGCATCCTCACTCGCACCCACGCTATCTCTACTCTATATAAAATTTTCTCTCTCTAATATGTATTTTCAATTTTCTAACTTTTTAAAAACAAAAAACTAAAAATTGTTACCAAACATGTTTTGGTTTTTTGTTTTTTAAAAACAAGAAACAAAAAATGGTTATCAAACATGATTTTTGTTTTTTAAAAACAGAAAACCAAAAACAAGAACTAAAAACAACAAAAATCAAAAACCAAAAACTAAAATAGTTATCAAGGGCCTCGCGAAACTGATTTTGGATTTTAGAAGATTTATTGAATTTTACCTTAAATCAATATTTTTAACTTTTTATTTATAAATTAATATTAAGAGCCTATATGATTTTTTTTTTATATTTTTCATTTCAGAATATTCAACCAGAAATTTTATTATTTTTTATTATATTTTCTTTTTTCATTTCAAACAAAATGAAAATTTTAAATTATTTTTCAAATTTCTAATAATAAGATTTAAAATAATTTCTTCAACTTTCTTAATTTTAAGTGGGGTAAAAGGAAAAAAAAATGATGGGAAATTGTTTGTTTTGGTGTTACTGAAACGTTTGGGAGGTAGCCTTAGTTTAGATTGTTTGGCATTTGAATAGACAACCAAGATTTAACATAATGTTCCAAATTATGAATTATACATTATCATTATATATGAATTTTTAAAACTTCTGTTTCTTTAAATTAATTTCCTATTTTTTATTTATTATTATTATTATTTTTTTACTCTTAAAAATTTTTCGATCTTGGCTTTCACATATTTCACTTTAATGAAATAGTCCATAGTGGGTTATAATTACTGGAGCTAATTTTGGGGAGTTTATTTATATGGGAAAACAAACTCAGTTAATTGTAAATATAGGGACAATATTTTTAGATTTGTAAATATAGAAAAAAAAAATTCCACCCAAGTTGTCCATGAACAAGACTAGCCTTGAAACTTCTCTCCATCTATGATGGTCAATATCATAGATAAAACATTTATTAATGATACACTACGTGATATTATTTGATATGATTGGAATTATATTAGCATTTGGATATCCGATTATAATTTGAATTTTATTTGGTAGACGATATTATCATATATATTATTTGAATTTGATTTATAATTAGGAATTATATATTTTTTAGTATAATATGTGGGGTGGGAAGAACTCACAACCTTTTAGTTGGAGATATATGTCAAGTTACCGTTAAGTTATACTCGCTTTGACAGGAATTATATTATTTGATGTAGATTTTCTATTCCTTCTATGATTATGAATTTTCTTATATAAATAGATGGGTAGGTTTGTATCCAATAGACGGATTCAATTCAATAAAATCATATTTTATTATTTTCTTTATTTTCTCTCCTCCATAAAATTTGTCACTGTGTCATTAATCGTCTTCACTTATAGATTATATCACTAATAAATATCATTACGTGATATATTCTATCTTTAATGTTTGATAAATGTAAATTAGCGATATATAGGAATAAAAAAATAGAAAGAATGTTTAGACAAGTGAGCGAAAATTTAAAAAAAAATTGTCATATTTGTGAAATTATAATTTGTTGATAAATTTACAAATATGACAATATCATCGATTGTCACCCAATAAAATTTTCATTAAGAGTCTATTTTAAGTTTGGTAAGTAGTTATAAAGTTGATAATTTACGCCGTCTGTTGCAGGAGAGGGTTCCATTTGAATGGTCACAGCTACCATATGTGGGAGTGATTTAGGTCGGCTACGAACCACCTTTTAGTCGGAGACCTATTCAAACCTGCCAAGTTTAGATTGAGAATTTTAACTGCGAATCTGTCAAGTTTGGAGCTATAAATTTATTTTTTTTTCCCTAAATTTAATAAGATAGTAAGAATTTGATTCAAAATGTTTAATACATATCACATAATATTGAAACTTTTAAAACACTAAAATAATTTTGTAAATTGATACAAATATAAGGAACAAAGTTACATATTTGGCATACCATTTTTTTTTTCATATTTCTCCCGTAATATTGATACATAATATGACGNCTGAATCAATTTTGTTATTAAATAACACTAATTTTCAGGTACAATTATTTAAAATATATAAAATAAATATGTATTTTTAAATATATGGTAGTACTTTTACTTTTTTCCCCCTAAATGTCACAAATTATGTTATTTATGTCACATTTTAAACTTGCTGTTATATTTAAAAATAAATATTTTTTTATTTTACCATTTATATAATTGTCTCAATGTATGCTCTGTAGTGTAATTTTTATAACTTTTATATTATTAAGAAGACCCGATAAATATTTTGATCTATATAATTTAAGTGTCTCAAATTTTAAGATCCAACATTTTTTTTTTGTTATTTGTAAGGTAAGGTACTAGAAATAAAATATAGTTTGGTCATCTTGTCTTTGTTGGGACTATTCATGGTTTAGGTCATGAGATTAGCATGATGTACATTTTTAATTACAGATCCAATTAATTAAACATAACATAAAAAGTAGTACTGACCAAATCTAAGCTTAATTAAACTGGTTAAGATACTTATTTCTTATTAATAAGTTCGAATCCCAAGTACTCTTTTGACCTAAGAGATTAATAGCTCTAGAAAAATTAGATTCAAATTCATCTAACATTGGTTTGAGAAATTACTATGTAACATAAATTTAAGATGTATTTTAAAAAATATCACAATTGTTTTTTTTTCAAATATGTCATAAATGTATTTTAATTACTTTGATTTGGATTAATTAGGTTATTTGATAATACATTTATGTAAATGCGTCCAAAATTGGAAGATTGAATAATTTCAAGCATTGCTAAAAAATAACAACAATAATAATTTCAAGCACAAAATATTACTTAGTTTGAATGTCTTTCCTTACGTGGATGGTAATACTTTAAAAAGAAATAAATTATTTTAATATAACTTTATGGTTTTTTCATATCATTATAAGTTGACGAGGTGTTAAATTTTTCGTAGATAATTTTATATGTCTATGGATTCAATATCAACATGAAAGATAAATCGATATTTATATAGTATCGGAAAAAATTTATAAAATATTAAAAAATATATCAACAATATATCACTAATATGAATATAATATTAATATTAATCAATTTTAACTTATTAAAAAAAGTGAAATGATTATTTATTATTTTAAATATTTTTTTATCAGTTTTTCAAAAATATCCATCGATATTGAAATCTTATAGATATTTAGATATTTCTATAAAATTGAGATCTCCATATATATTTTCATCGACATTTAAAACTTTGATTTTTTTTTTTTTTGAGAGGGGTGCATTTTTTATTCTATTTTTAAAGTATGTAGTTTTCGTTTTCATTCTAAATTATTCTCAATGTAATCTCCTCTGAAATGGTTTGAATCGTATTTTAATCCTTCAAATTTTAATAATCTGTTCCATCAACTTTCAAATATTTAATTATTTGAATCCTTGTTGTCAAATTATCGTTCATAATTCTACTTCCATTTCAAAATCTAATGAATGAAATATGAAATGTGGCTATCCACATAATTAAGCATCTACTCTCAATCAATCAAAGAAAATTAAAAAAGAAAAAAGAAGAGAGTTTATATACAAAATTTATTAATTAAAATAGAACATTTCATAAGAACAAAATGAGATAAGCACGAAAATAAGAATTGAAAAAGATAAAAACCTAGTAAGACTGAAAAGTAAATTTAAAAAAAAAATAGTTAAAGAAAACTAACAACAATGAGAACATAATTAAAATGACAAAACAGAAGCCA